GATCACTGCATCCGAGTTGCAAAGAGGTTTAGGCTTAATGGTCACTACAGTTTAGTAGAATTTTCTTCTCTATTTGTAAGTAGAATGCCTTTTATTCAATTCATATGGATGACGAATACAATATCTAATTTTGACTAACTCATTTCGTCGTTAGTCCAAAATTTCATCCCTGCAATATAATATATAGCTTTTTTGGGATTGACTTGAGAAGTTGACGCAGGTGGATCATAGTGAATGATACACATGTAGTCTTGAGGTCTTAACACTCTACAAAAAATACTTTGCACGATGAAATAAGATTTGTTGCGCAAAGTATGATTTCGTTGCTCAAAACCTTGCGAGACGAAATTTTTGTCACGCATAATTGGTTGCACAAAGCTCGTTATGATAGGGTTTGTGCGACGAAATATTTTGTCGAGCAAAGTTTTTGGTTTTTTATTTTTTATTTAATTAAATTAATTTAATATTTTGCTCGACGAAATTAATTGTTTGCGAGACGAAATCCTTTGTTGCACAAGGTATTTTATTTTTGTTTTATTATTTCTCTTATTTTAATTTAGTTATATTAATTTTTTGCACGACGAAATTTTTTGGTAGCGCAAGATTTTTTGAAGTTTTACCTTTTTAATTTAATTTAATTTTATCTTTATTTTTTTTAATTATTTTAATTTAAATTGACATATTCAAAGTAAAATTACATATGAAAAATAGTGATCAAATTATCCATAATATATATTATATTAAAAATGTACACATAAATTAACAAAGTACAATAATAAAATCCTAATACAAGTCTAATGTGGTGGTAGTGGCGGGGGATATGGTCCGGTAGCATCCTAATCCTCAACTTTCGCCGTCAAAGTTTCGATGATTCCTTACGAACAAAACAAACATGGTCAAATAACCAAAAAACAACATAAAATAATACCAAAAAATTGGCATAATCTCCCCTACAATTGGCATACCCCAAATCCTACCTCAAACTCCACCCTACACCAAACCCAATTAATTAACTCCAAAAACACATATGAATTAAAAAAAAAAAATTTGGCGGAGAAAATACCTTTTGGCAAGATTGAGAGTGAGTGAGAGAGGAGTGAGTGTGAGAGAGTTAGAGGACATAGTGAGAGAGAGATGAGAGAGTGAGTGAGGGTGAGAGATAGCGAGAGAGAGATTAAGTGAGAGGAGTGAGTGTGATAGAGAGGGTAGGATTTGGGGAGAGGGAAAGAGAGGAGAGGCAAGAGAATAGAGAAAGACATTGAGAAAATTGTGGACGAGTTATTTTGGTTTTGAAAACCGTATCACTTTGCGCGACGAATGATACGAGTTTGTGCGACGAAATATTGGTCGTACAAAGTCTCAAAAAAATTTACCTAACGCTCAAATCAAGGAATAGACTGAACGGAGTCAATACATAAATGCCAAGTTTCCAACCATAAAATTTTCTACATTAATATATGTTCTACCAAAGTGCCAAAGTCCAACACAAATCAACTGGCTAGTTACAAAACTAACACAAGTCAACAGACACCAGCATCCAGCAGAAAAATCCCCAAAATTAAAATAATATACTTTTATTAAAGTAAGATACACAATACCCTAGTTGATTGTAAGAGATAATGTATCTTCAGTTCATCAGTTGTGGATCCATTATTTGTTTGAGGGGCTCTAAGTTATAAGAACATTTAAATAATGTTAATACAACATATGTGTTTACGTTTGTTCGTGCTGAGTGAAACGTTTATACCACTTAAGTAGTAGAGCACTTTACTCGCACTCACCACTACGTTTAATAGTTATCATGAAGAAATAAAGGTTGTCGTACAAAGAAGATTTTCGTCGCCCAAAAAATTTATCACAACGAAACAAAGACCGTCGCGCAACTTCAGAAGTAGAGCACACTTTACTCGCACTCACTACTAGTTCAACTCACATTCTCCTTGTCTTTTTCTAAATTATAAAATTTTGCTCCTACTAAATTTGTCATGAGTATGTGCTGACTATCGTTTTCATAAGGATTTCTCGAATCAATATTGTAAAATCATTATGGCCTCATAGATTTTGTTTTTCTTGGTTATTGTTCTTCCAACTAATTTCGATGGAAATTTAGCTAGTCGTAGGCAATCTGTATTTTCTTTCTTCTAAAACCCTACAAAAATAATATTCCTTTTATTTCTAGCTACCCCTGATCTCTCTTAAATGTGGGTAACCACATTGGGTAAGCTACTAACTGTGAACTATAATACATTTCCAATATAATAATACTACACAATTTGATTTTGACTTAAAGACTTTGGTCAAGCCCAAATTATAAAGTTTAAAGGTCAAATACACAATGTCTTGCAACTAGTAGTTTTTTGATGAGCAAGGTTTATGCATGATAGAAGTTACTCAAAGAGCATAGAACCCAATTAACAATCCCCAATAGCTTTACTTTTGCACGCTTAAGATGCGACTTAATTTGATTAGGAATAAAGTTTGATATCAAGGAAAATGATAAACACACACTTTTTTTTTGTGACTTTGGAGGCGGTCCCTATTTATCAACGTTCTTTGACTGAAATCTTATTGGTTTTCAATTTTTTATTGAAGTACTTGAAATTAATGCAATGATGTATGTCTATGTAGGTTATTATAATTTTAGATTAAATTTTGATATTTGTAGTTACTTATGTTAATGAGATTTTAAATAAAATCCATGATTTGTTGTATTGAAAATATTAAAATAAATTATATTTATATAAAAAAGTATAATTTATCTTAATGACATGATTTGTGTCACATCCCAACCTGGGCCCCCACCACATCCCAGGCTCAACTCCACCGTAGCATAATATTGTCTGCTTTGGGCCCTGGCCACACCCTCACAGTTTTGTTTCTAAAAACTCATGTGAGCAGAACTTCCCAGTGGGTCACCTATCCTGGGAATGCTCTAGCCATTTTCTCACTTAACTTCGGAGTTCCGATGGAATCCGAAGCCAGTGAGTTCCCAAAAGGCCTCGTGCTAGGTAGAGATAAGAATATACATATAAGGCTTACAGAATCCACTCCCCTGGGCGACGTGGGATGTCACAATCCACCCCCCTTAAGGGCCCGACATCCTCGTCGGCACACTTTTGGCCAGGGATAGGCTTTGATACCAAATTGTCACATCCCGACCCAGGCCCCCACCACATCCCGGGCTCGACTCTACCGTAGCACGATATTGTCCGTTTTGGGCCTCGGCCACACCCTCACGGTTTTGTTTCGGGAACTCACGCGAGCAGAACTTCCCAGTGGATCACCTATCCTGGGAATGCTCTGGCGCATTTCTCGCTTAACTTCGGAGTTCCGATGGAACCTGAAACCAGTGAGTTCCCAAAAGGCCTCGTGTTAGGTAGAGATGAGAATATACATATAAGGCTTACAGGATCCACTTCCCTAGGCGATGTGGGATGTCACATCCCGACCCAGAACCCACCACATCCCGGGCTCAACTTCATTGTAGCATAATATTGTCCGCTTTAGGCCCCGGCCACACTCTTACGGTTTTGTTTCTGGGAACTCACGCGAGCATAACTTCACAATGGGTCACCTATCCTGGGAATGCTCTAGCCCATTTCTCGCTTAACTTCGGAGTTCCGATGGAAACCGAAGCCAGTGAGTTCCCAAAATGCCTCGTGCTAGGTAGAGATGAAAATATACATATAAGGCTTACAGGATCCACTCCCCTGGGCGATGTGGCATGTCACAATTTGTCATTAGATAAATTATTATGTAAATAAAACTCATGATTTTTCATTACTTATATTAATGACATTTTACATACAAAAAATTGGTAATTTTTATAGGGTACATTTTACATACAAAAAGTTGGTATATTTTATATAAAAACAGGTGGTATGTTTTATATATATATAAAAAAAATGGGTACATTTTGTATAAAAACAGTGGGTACATTTGATATAAAAAAACCAATGGGTACATTTTAGATTAAAATAAATAAATAGGTCTTACATTAAAAAAATAGTACTTATAAAGAAAAATTGGTACATTTTACATATAACAAAGTGGTATATTTTTAAAGATAAATGGGTACATTTTCAATAAATTATGGGTACAAATAAAAGGTTAAAAAAATATGAGTACAAATAAAAGTTTGAAAAATATGGACACAAAAAGAAATTAATATATGGGTACAAACTAAAACTTAAAACAAAATTGGTACAATTTAAAAGAAGCGTTGCAAATTAAAATGGGTACAAACTAAAAACAAAAATATATGATACACAATTTAGCCACAAATATATATATATATATTCAAATGTTACGTTCTAACACTAAATGACTATATTTAGAAATAAAATTTAGTATCTTCTTGACGTGTAAAATACTTTATTATTGAAATAATTGATGACGTTTATTAAAATCAAGGGACCTCGATAAAAATTTGAAAATGAATAAGATTTCAATAAATGGAGTTGAAAAAAGAAGGATGTGAACCTAATTTTTTTTTTAAACATATCTCTCTTTATTTTTTTGTGTGATTATTATATTAAAAAATTAGGGGTGTGTTATCCACACACCCCATTTTACTTCTCACACACCCCTTGATAATTTATGTTCGTTGATCTTCTTCAATTCATCTGATCCGACGGTGGAAAATAAAAAAGGTGTGTGAGAAGTAAAATGAGGTGTGTGGATATCACACCCCAAAAATTAAATTAAAACATTAGCAAGAGTGTATGCATGGTTATCTTACTTGTCTTTTTTTTTTAATATTATTTATTATTAATGGGAGAGGAATGATTCAAAATTATTATAATAATTTATGAGAAAATGGAGTTCTGAGTAAAAAAAAATATTATTTATTATTAATGGAAGAGAAAGGATTCAAAATTATTATAATAATTTATGAGAAAAAAGAGTTCAAACTCAGAACGTGAGAGTAGAAACCTCAACCCTTGAACCAAATGCAGGATATAATTCACTTGTCAAAAAGCTTGACCCACAGACACATGGTGGGGGTTGAGAAGTTGCAAATGATTATTTAGCATCTTCACATGTAGTGTACCTCTTCCTCCTCTCTTCTTATAAGACTCCCATTTTCAATTCCCATCTACCCAATAAGCTCACATTTCCATCCACCTCTCTGTCTCTCTCTCTCTCTCCTCTCTCTCTCTCTCTCTACATTTTATAATGGAGCTTCTTGCTTTAGTCTGTGTTTTTTCAGCCTTGTACTTCATTTTTATTATGTGGAAGCTTTTTGATAAGAGGAGAGACCAAGAGTGCTACATTTTGGACTACCATTGCTACAAGCCCACAGATGACAGAAAGCTAGACACTGAGTTCTCAGGTGAGATTATCAAGAGGACCAAGAATCTTGGTCTTTTGGAATACCAGTTCCTCCTCAAGGCAATTGTAAGCTCAGGGATTGGTGAGCAAACTTATGCTCCAAGAATAATGTTTTCAGGCAGGGAATCATGTCCCACATTGGACGACAGCATCTCTGAGATGGAGGAGTTCTTCCATGATAGCATCAAGAAACTCCTTGACAGATCAGGGATTTCACCTTCAGAAATTGATGTGCTTGTTGTGAATGTCTCCATGTTTGCATCTGTTCCATCTTTGTCCTCCAGGATTATAAACCACTACAAGATGAGGGAGAACATAAAGGTCTTTAACCTCAGTGGGATGGGCTGCTCAGCATCCCTAATCTCAGTTGACATAGTGAAAAACATTTTCAAGTCACACAGAAATGTTTATGCACTTGTGGTCACTTCTGAGTCCTTGAGCCCCAATTGGTATTCAGGCAATGCCAGATCCATGATTCTGGCAAACTGTTTGTTCAGGTCCGGCGGTTGCGCGATCCTTCTGACGAACAAACGGGCCTTAAAACACCGAGCCATGTTCAAATTGAAATGCTTGGTGAGAACCCATCACGGCGGGAGAGACGATTCCTACGGGTGCTGCATCCAACAAGAAGATACACAAGGGTATCTAGGGTTTCACCTAGACAAATACTTACCCAAGGCGGCCACACGAGCTTTTGTGGACAACCTAAGGGTAATATCCCCCAAGATTTTACCCATCAGGGAGCTAATGAGGTTTTTGCTTGTAACCCTGGTGAAAAAAAAGACCTCCTCACAACAATCCACCAAGGGAGGGGCTATTTCTAGCCCATCACCAAAACCTGTGATCAATTTCAAAACTGGGGTGGATCATTTTTGCATCCACACCGGTGGGAAGGCGGTGATCGACGGCATAGGATTAAATCTTGGTCTCAGCGAGTATGATCTGGAACCTGCAAGGATGACACTCCACAGATTTGGGAACACATCAGCAAGCAGCCTCTGGTATGTGTTGGGATACATGGAGGCAAAGAAGAGGTTGAAGAAAGGGGATACTGTTTTGATGATAAGCTTTGGAGCCGGGTTTAAATGCAACAGTTGCTTGTTGGAGGTGGTAAGGGATTTGGGGGATGAAAATGTTTGGAAGGAGGACATTGCTACGTACCCACCAAAGACGCTCACAAACCCTTTCTTGGAGAAGTTTGGTTGGATTCGTCATGAGGATCCAAGCACATTCAACGTGGATAATTATTTGAACCTTTAAACTAAAGGTGATATCAATCTCTCTAATTGTTTTTAATTACTTCTGAAAAGTATAACTTTTTTGGGGGTTTTACTCTTTAATTTCTTTGTTTTTGTTGTATTTTGATTTTTTTTTTCTTTTCTGTATACTATAAAGTTCTTATTATTGAATCCCTCTGCGGATTTCATGACTAATAAAATATGCTGCTGCTTTGAAATTTAAATCCCTTTTCTCTTCTTTTAGGATTTTTTTACATTTCATTTGAATTTATCTTTTTACCTTGATTCAGAAACATTTATGTAAAACAAGTTTGTCCTACATATTAATTTATACAGATTTATTTTGCTTTGTATTTATTTCCAAGAGGATGCATATAAGAAGAACCTTTTTGCATTTGATTTTATGGAGTGATTGCAATAGCTAGCAGATGGGGCCCAAATCCTGGGTGTATAAACTGTGGTAACATGACATGCTTTACATGCTGGACTACCTATAATAAATTTTCTTTATTAGGCAAATAAATTCACCCATCTAACCTAGTTTTATCTGTACAATGGCCATGGATGATGATTCTCTTACAAAAAAGTTCAGTTTGAGTTGTCTGTGTTATGTTGTTTTGTTATAAGCAAGGTTTGTGGTCTCGTTATTAGTGAGTTGACAAGTGTACTCTTTTTAGAGATTCGTCATGTTTTATCAAGTTGTAACTAATGACTTGTGTCTTATTGGTGGTTTTATCGTGAGTGTTTGTCGTATTAGCTCCGTGCTTGAGTGATTCTTGTTTATTGTTTCATTTCAATTAAAATTATATCATTTCTTCTCATTAAAAAAAAAGGGAAATCTCATTTCCTAAACACTAGGGTTAGAAACATTTTTCCCAAAATAGCTATGGGTATTACATTTTTTTTTTGTCGAATGAATTATATTGATCAATCAAAATTCAAATGAAAACATTTGCATCTTCTGCTAAGATATTAAAAAGAAATTCTGGTCATAACTCATTCTAACCAAAACTCCCGTCATGTTTATGGGTATTATACCTTAAGGAAACCATTTTTCTAATGTATTCCTAATCCTTTCAATTTCGAAACCGCCTACGAAATAAAGAAAAAAGGGCAAAACTCGGGTTATTAATTGTGTCTAAGCATGTTTTAGAATTGGATTAGTGAGTTAATTTTGATGCCGACTTAGACCATCTTCAAAGGAGATGTCAAATCCTAAGTGGAATGCCATATAATCAAATTTGAAGATATGAGCAAACTTCAACTGATATGTGGATTGACATGTGAGTTTTCATATGTCAAATTTGATATATGAGAAAAGCTGATGTCAAATCATTTTTAATTATTTTATTGTGTGGATCCTATTAATGCACCAATTATAAATTTTGAATTTTATTTTAATTGATTTCTTTTTTAAAATATGTCGTATGAATATCATTTATAATAAAAAAAAAGTATATTGATTGGAAAAAGAGAAAATCTGACATTGCCACGTCAGCCATTAAATTAACATTTAACATTTATTTTTTGACATCTCCATTGGAGATGCTCTTACAAGTCAGGATGTCTCAATGAATGGTTCTTGCAATTTGATGTCCCAAATAATGGTTCTTGCAATTTGGGGAGTCACTTCAAATATATATATACCCTTGTACTGTACTACATATGGAATGAGAGGATAATTGTGAACCTGAAATTGGCACGCCCTTAATTTGGAGGCTGGGGGGATATCTTTGAGAAAGTACGACTTCATTTAATTTTCAGGTAATGCTAAAGAGATTAAAATTTTCAAACTAAATGATGTGGTTGTAGATCATTGGATTAATAATTAAATGTAGATTAACGTGCTTGTTTTTTTATTGGTGACACATTATTTAGTTTGCAAATTTAGTATAAAAATTTAGTTTTCCTAACGTTATCCTTAATTTTCTTAAAGGCTTGGAAGCTTCATCGATAAACTTTTTGTTCTCAAATTTACAATAAGAATTCGATTCTCGTGAGTTCGTTGAATTCAAACGGTAAATAACTGTATAAATATAATCTATTTCCCATCATTAGAGAAGAAAGGTGCATAAATTTCATATGCATCACCACCAATAACTGAATTGCTGCAGGTCGATGGAGCTAACGCGATCTACTGCATTAACTTTTACACATCTACTACTCCACCATCATCATAAATTAAATCAATTCAAAAAAATTATTTTTAATCAAAGTTCCCTACCGTTGGATTTTTGGATCGCTGGACCCACTCCATTCTAGCAACACCGATATTATTTCTAACTTTACCACATGCACAATCCGTTAGGTGTGGAGTTTTTCCACAAGAGGTCTTGGTATTATAGTTAGAGTAGGGTAATACTATTTAAACTCATTGGGTTTCGTTGAACCCACAAATGTGGGACTTTAACAATCCCCCTCACGTGTAACCCCATTTGGTAGTTCACACGTGGAGGTCCACATCAGTAATTGAAACTCAGAGGTAAGCTCACGTTGGACCACTTTTTTTCAATGGAACTCAGCAGTAATCTCTATATTAAGAGTTCAACTTTGTTTCCTTATGGGTGACAAACTCTTTGGCTTGCACACAAGCTCATTGGCTTGCACTTGCCCGCAACCGTGGGCTCTGATATCATGTTGAATTTTTGGATCGCCGGACCCGCTCCACTCTAACGACACCGATACTGTTCTCAACTTTACCACCTGCCCAATCCGTCAAGTATGTGATTTTACCATAAAAAAATCTCGGTATTAGTTAGAGTAGGGTATTACTATTTAAACCCACTGAGTTTCTTTGAATCCACCGATGTGGGACTTTTAGCACTTACTATATAGCCATTGCAATATGTGTGTGTGTGTGTGTGTGTGTGTGTGTGTGTGTGTTAACTGCTTGGACACATGCAGAGAAGAACTTTAGCTCTTCTGTGGCCACCAGCAGAAGAACGTTATTCCGGAAAGAATATTGAAAATCTAATTAAGATCTTTTATGGATATACCGGTTTTCTTAGTTTCTGCTGACACATGGGTACGGTTAGTGGTCCATAACAAAACCCCAAAAAAATTCATTTCTAATATCTCACAATGAAAATTATTCCTTTTATTTTTTTTTAGTATGTCGATATTTTTACACTAAGACCATCTCCAATGATGACCTAAAACCTAAAAACATTTAGCCCAGAAAATTTAGGTTTTAGCCTAGAAACAGTTTTTCTACTCCAACCATTCTGACTTAAAATTTTAGCCCATAATTATCAAAGAATGACTTACGGCTATTTTTTTAAATTAACTTTTTTTTAAAAAAAAAATTTATGTAGACTATCCTAAATTAATTTTATGAATATTTTAACCTAAAAATATTTAAATTCCGATAAATTTTGAAAAAGCACTGAATCAATACACCGATCATAAACAACACCAACTTCCCTTCGACCGGTGTTGGAGTTTTCGTGGAACTTATCAACGATTTTACCCCACAAAACCTTTCTATTTTGATTGGTGCCGACGGCACCATCTTCGCTAACAGAAATCCATGCCAAATATAAAGCAATATCTTCGTCAAAGGTCCAATTACGACCTCTAACATGCTCTTTTGCCATCTTGAAAATTTTGGAAATGAGAAGAAATGGTAGAAAGAAAAATTGGAAGAATTGTAGGAGAAAAGTTAGTTTTGTGTGGATGTTTGAACAAACACATAGGTATTTATAGAGTTTTTGGTTGAATTTTAAGTTAAATAATTTTTTTTTAAATTATCTTACCTGTTGGATTTAAATTTGGACCGTTAGATCTTTTTTTTTACCGTTAGATTTGATTATATTTGATCTAAGCCGTTAGATTCAATAAATATATAAATATAAAAAAAAAATTGAACGTGGACCGTTGGATTAACCAACGGTCCAATTAAAGTGGCCGTTGGATGAACAAAAGTAGCCGTTGGGATACAGTAACCATGACAGCAAAGGGGACCAACCCACGTGGGTGGGCCTTCGGCTAGAAGAAAGAGGGCGCGTGAGGCGAGTTGGGTTTTGGGGTGTGGGCTTCACAGCCCACTTTTCACTCTCATCCGTGGGTCACATTTTATTTTGTGGGCTAAATTGTGGCTGGTATTTGCCTTTCTTTTAGGTTTGGTTTAGGTTTTGGGTTGGAGTGGGTTTTTTGGGGGGGGGGGGGGAAGAGGAATTTTAGGTTATAAGCCACCATTGGAGATGGTCTAAGGGAAGGAAAAGTTCGGCTAAGCCACATAATAGGCAGCCTAATTTGGTATTGAATTCGCCATCTATGAGATTCGAACCTAAGGCCTCTCACTTTCAAGTGAAGAGGAATACAACCAGACCATAGTACTGAGTGACCTCTACTTTTAATATACCATAATTATAGAAGCTTATTCATTTAAATCCAATCCTTATTGTGTTATAGTCAATATAAGGCAGTACTTAGGGTTTAGGAGTGGTTTAGGGTTTATGGTTTATGGGTGGTTTAGGGTAGTTTGAAATCAAGGAATAAACAATAGAAATGTGAAAACAACGTAATTCCTTCTGTCCAGCCTTCAACCAAAAAGGAGAAGTGAAAAGTAGTAGGCCTGTATAGCAAAATTTTCTCCTTTGAGTTACACAGTTAACTTCTCCTGTGAAAAACCAAACAGACGCATTAATTTGCCACCAAACTTAACAACTCTTCGGCCAAATTGTGATTTCATTAAAATCCTATCCCTCATTTTGCGTTATTAGCCGAATTTCCTGGTGTGATGACCGATGAACCACAAATGTGAAAGAAAGCCGCTGAACTGCTAGTTGTTGCAGCTGTTGCTTGGTCTATTTTTCTTCTTTAAGAACTTTTTCAGCTTGAATTTCGAGACAGAGATTTCGGTTCAATTACCAAACCGAAACCAGCCCTGATTTACAACGCTACATTTGGTATATTTGTATTTATAGCTAAATTTTATATCATATTTTTTAGTTTTATTTATACTTATTTTCTAATTTGCATCCATTTTATAGTAATTTTCATTTTAGCTTTTATTTGTACCCATATATTTAATTTCTTTCTGCACCCACTCATCAATTTCGTCCGTAGCTGCCAGATACGGAGTACGATTTGAGTTTTGAGTTGGATTTGGTTTGGGTACGAAATGCGCTAGTAACCTGTAAATATCATTAACCAAAGAGTATATATAGACAGTACCATATTCAGTTTATTCGTTCTAAATTCGCAATGTTGAACCTTTCTTCTCTCCTGTGCAATTCATACCCGACCCACTCTCTTCCCCTCGATAAGCTCTCCTTAATCTCACTTTCCCTTTTTTCTCTCTCTCTCTCTCCTTTCTTCTCCTTCCTCGACAACCACAAGGACCACGACAGTGGTAAACTCATTCTGACTTTCCCTCCCTCTCTCTCTCTCTCTCTCTCTCTCCTTTTTTTTTCTCCTTCCCTAACCTCTTCTTTCCTCTCCTTTCTCGTCAACCTCAACCACGACAACGACAAATTTACCACCGATTTTACAGTGACCAAATGCGTTTTTCTTTTCTTTATTTTTTTTCTAATCTGATTAGAGATCTAGATGAACCATCGAATCGCCAAAGTATTGGTTCGTACGTACCGATACAAAATTCGGACCCTATATTACCCCAGCAACCATGATTTCGTCCTTACCATCCATCTTTGCCAAATTTTTTGTTAATTTGCTGACATGCCACTTTGTGGGATCCATAATTCTAGTAACACATTGACACACGAACTAAATAAACAAAGTAAAAGTAACATCTAAAAGTTTTTAAACAATAAGAAAAACTAAAGAATAAATAGAAATAAGATTAAAAAAAATTATAATATATGTTGTCATTCTCAACAACCCGAACCAGCCACCTCCACCTCCACCTCACATCACAGTCGGACCCAGCTACCTCAACCACATCGCGGATTCCCGATTAAAACTCATTCACTAAATGCCAACGGTGGCAAATCTGATCTAAAAACTTGCAAGTGCCAGTGTCAGATAGGGACTCTGAGAGCAAGTTCATCCTTAAGGACTTTGCGCCAGCACCCAGCGCATTTATTCACTCAAGTGAACAGTGATAGACTGGAGTGAACAGTAATAAGCCAAAGCATCTCCACCCCTAAAAAAATGCGCTGGCACCCAGCGCATTTATTTGGTGTGTTTTTTTTTTTAGTTTATTTCGAATAAGATTTTTAACCAATTTCGGATAAAATTTCAAATAAACTTTAAAAAAAATACACACTAAAATAAAATTACATACTCATCAAATAAACTTAAAAAAAAACACACTAAAATAAAATTACATAAACTCATCAAATAAACTATAAAAACAAACACACTAAAATGAAATTACATAAACTCATCAAATACTCTTTATTCTTCAACCACAAGCTTTTTGGTATTTTTTTTCACACAAAAAGTATATGAAAGCTTTGGTAGAAAGTGTAGAAAATATTGAAATGTGGTGTAAGGTGGAAGATGAGGGTTAGGTATTTATAGAAAAAAAAATTTTAATTTTCTGTATTTTTTAATAATTTTTCTGTATTTTTTAATAAATTTTAATTTAGTTAATTAACGTGGACCGTTGATCTATGATCGAACGGTCCATTTTAAAAGTCAAATTTAAATTTTTTTTACCGTTGGAAATCCAACGGTCTAGAAAAACTAGCCGTTGGAAATCCAACGGCTATGAGCATGCCGCGTCACTCCGGAGCACAAGTGGGCTGACAGCCCTCTGCAAGCTTGTCGGCTACTCGCCCTGGGCGCGAGTGTCGTGCACGCGCCAACCAAATAGGCCGGCTCTTGGGTCTGTCAAAATTGGGCTGGTCTGTTGCCTGGCATGGACTGGGTGTCAGGCAACTTTGTGGGCTGGAGCAAATTGACTGAGAGCAGTCTGTTTTATGGGCTGGGTCCTGGGCAAAGCAAGCCCCGGTAGATTGCTCTGAGGGAACACCATTCATAAGGGCTAATTCGCAAGGGCTAATGACATGACCGCATAAATTAAAGAGCTCCACCACTCTACATCCATGTCGACCTAAACATCTAGACACCCTTAATTAAATCAACTCGAGTCTACGTCAAAGGGTGACATATCCTCGCAACTTGTCGACATTTCATTCGCATGGACCAGATTCATTGTAAATTTGTGTCTTCAAGGCTCTAAAAATACCGAGAGGAACATATCTACCACGATCAACGGTAAATTCATCACATCAACCCCCCAAACTGGGGCCGACAGATTTGAAGATCCAACTCGATCATTTAAGTTGGGAAAATAAATCCCCAAGAAGACTTGAGGTGAGACAAATCCTTGACCGAGTCTAGCATCGAAAGGCTAGGAGAGAAAGCTCGATCTCTGCATATAATGGGAGGAGTGACTAGGTTTAGGGTTGGTTTGGTATTGATGTATTTTGAAAAAAAAATTGTTTTTGTTGTACTGTGAGAATAAGCAGCTGTGAAATAAAGCAGCAGAGTGTTTTGTAAACTTTTTTGTAAAAGTGCTTTTGAAAAAAAAATAGTATTATAGTGTGTAGTAAACTTTTATGTAAAACAGATATGAAAAAAGCCGGTTTTTCAAAGCTAGGTTTTGCAGCTTCCTGTTTTTGGCTTTTTTTTACCCAACACTGTGAAAAAAAGCTGAAGCTGAATGTTTACCAAACACAAAAAAGTTGCCATCTTTTTTGTATACCAGTTTTTTTTTCAGAATTACCTCAGTACCAAACCAGGGCTTAGAACTTGTTTGAATGTGCTTTTAAAATGACTGAAAGCATTTTTGGTGAAAATATTTTTAGAATCAATCTTTAGTAAAAATGCAAGTGGACCCTGAAAAAGCACTTCAAGTGCTTTTGAGACCTAAAACAATTTTCTTTAAAAGCACTTTCAGTCATTTTAAAAGTACATTCAAACAAGCCCTTATTTTCTTAGCTAAATTGGTTTCAAAGGAGCAGGAAAAATAATGAAATAGTGTGAACTTCTATTAAACTCCAAAATAGTTATCATACCTCTCTCCGTCTCTCTTCGCCTTTTTCATTTTTTGGACAGTGAACGGTGCCCTATTTTAGAGTGGTACTAACATGAGAGAATTATGATAACTTATAGATTCAAGACGTACTGAATGAAGAAATTGACAACAACTTCCAAAAATAAAATTCAAGTTGAAAAGTATAAGATGGATTACTAATTAATGAAAGAAAGGTATCCATTCTAATCCCCCAAAAATAGTAGGCGGTTGGTGGTTGGTCCTCTACGCCGTCCTTGCGGCAGCGAGGAGGGCCTCTCTAAGAATATCTCCAATAGACATGTCAAAAGACAAAGATGAAATATTAATTTGATGGTTTATAAGGTAATGTCAAACTTCCTCTTTTGGATCCAACCCACATGCATTTTGTTTGACCATGTTTGACAATAAAAACAAAGATATTATCTTCAGTTGACGAAGAAAAGAGGAGTGCATGGTGTATACATCTCCGAGTGACAACAACAACTTCCTAACATACAAACCTGGTAAGCCTAACGGACCAAGACATTGGATTGGTCAATGGGCCTGCCTGACTCGATCCAGGCCTGATAAAAAAGCCCAAAAGTTTTATCTTGGGCCCTAAAATTTTAAAACCCAGCTGGCCAAGCCCATCTGGACCATAGAGCAAGTTAGCAACCATCCTCGCCAGTTGCTTGCAAGCGTTGGCTTCTCAAAGTTCTCAGAATCCCAGAAGACTTTCATCGACATTGGTCTGCGCTTGCTATTCCAATGGAGAAAGCAGAGATTGAAACGATCACTAAGCCTTACAGGCTGCTGCTCGCATGCCCATCTGGTCTTTCACCCTCGCAGGTTCTTCAACTCTTCGTTTCCATCATTCACTTGATTTGTATGATTAACAAAGCCATACTTCAATGGTAATCTTTTCAAATGCATATGATTTACAAACCTGATGAAAGTTTTGTTTTGTTGGTTTATAGATTTCTGTGGTTTTTGATGGAGTTTATGATCGAATTCCCCACCCAGACATCAACTTGGAGAATTCTATCTCTGAGGTGATCTTTTGATTGTGTAATTATGTATATGTGTGGTCAGTAAGCTGCATTTTCTATATTTATGTTCATTTATGTATTTATTGTGTATTGGGTTTCTTTATTTTTATTTTTACAATTGATAGGTGAGAGAGTTGTAAATTTAAGGAGAAATGAAACAGTCCAGTGTGTTATGGGTTGCATTTTGGGGAGCCCAGTTCTGGTAGGAATTAGATGAGCTTGTTTGTTCCATTACAAAATCTACTTGGAGTATCTGCAAATTAGGATCCTGGGTTGAGTTTATTTTCTTGAATACGCAAGCGTCTTTCGGTGGTTTTTTCATCACAAGCTTGGTTTTCTGATTTGTGTTCACTCACATTTCTATACTGTATGGCTAAGCTGTTTTATTTTGTTTTTATAGATATGGGATCAAAGGGTCCAGAAAAATCCATCACTGTACAATGGGACAAAGTTCAGGGTATGTGGATCGTCTTTGACAATGAAACTTATGTAGTATGATGGCAGGATCATTTAGTTTCTTCCTGACAAGTATCCCTCTGTCTGAAATTGTAACCCGTAGTTTCATTTGATTTTTGATATTCATGTAATGTACTGATCTAGTGTACATTGTTGATAATCATACAGTATGGACAACATGTATGGAATGGTGGAGGTGGATCCAACCAAGAGCCTCATGTGTGCCTCAACCTTGGTCTGACAGATTATAGGTCTCTTTCTCTCAATCAAACAAACAAAATGATCGGCATATATACTGTCTAAATCTGATTCTTTAATGCAACATTCTTAGATTTATGCACTTATTCACAGTTATTACCTCTTCTAAAAATAAAAAAAATAAAAAAAATAAATATTGACAGTGGATAGCATTTTAAGTAATTTAGCTTATTTATAGAGTTTCATGAAGAGATGGTTTCTTGAACAAAGTGGAAATGTTTTTTGTTCTGTCTTGGCAGATTCTAATTCCATGATACTTGATAAGCGAAATTAGTTTGTAATTGGTTCTTTCCGCCTATGAAACTAGGAAAACAAGAAACAAATTACAATCGGATGCCACTTTTTAAAAGGATATACAATCAGCCTTTTATTTTGCCGGTTTTAAATCAGTTACCTACTTGCTTTGCAGGACTTTTGTGGGCACAAACTTAAATCCTTTGTGGGAAAGATTCCTGGTTCGATCAGAAGGTATTACTGCAGGAATTAGTACATTTTTCTCAATGAGCTTCCATTATTTTTCTCATTTTTGTCTTTCGCACACCCACAAACTTGAGTCCCTGATCATCTTTAATATTTTCTCCTGTTGGAATCCTGAGCATTTGGTAAAATTAATGATAATGAAGCCTTACAATGGGTAAATTCAACTCAGAAGGCATATAATTATTCACTTGGTTCGTAAATTTCTTTGACGTTTATAGCTTTGCTTGTCTGTAGATGATGCCATACGTTGTCAACACACCTCAAGTCCATTGGGTAATGGTGCTATTGTGGAGACATCTGACAAGAAAATACTAGTGTTGCAAAGAAGTAACAATGTCGGGGAGTTTCCCGGACACTTTGTATTCCCAGGAGGCCATCCAGAGGTATCATAACTGAAACAAAAATAGTTTGCGACCACATTTTTAGCTGCATTGTGAGATTTCATCGTTGCCTATATATGCTTGCCACACATTATCTAGATCATTTCTAACTTTTTTTTCATCCTTGTAGTAATGATAAGAAGGTTATTCTATTGCTTTATCCTTTGGGTTTTCTCGACCTCTAATTCCATAATGTTTGATGATTAACAGCCCCACGAAGTTGGAATAATATCCCATCACCATAAAGACGTGACAGACTCCAAAGCTATTAATAACAAAGTTTCTCAGGAGATGTTTGAGAGCATTGTTCGTGAGGTAGTTGAAGAAATCGGAGTACCTTCAGCTTCCCTTGTAAGTACATCTGTATGTTTGTTTCCTAATTGTTCATTACACATTTTATGCGTCTTTCCCGCTCACGATGAGTTTTATTTACTGTATTGGTGATGTGGAACAGAAGTGGTGGCTGCCCTAAATTAAAGGGTGTTTAAGTCTGTTACTCTCTAGGGTTTTAGTATTTTAGTATCTGGTTTTAGTTATTTGATTTCCTACCTTTACGAGGATTAAGATTACTTCCAGTTTCATTGGGATTAGATTTAGTTTCCTAATATCCCTTGTAATTCCAATAGTTGTATGGGATTATTTTGTTGAGATGACAAAATTCTTGGTGAGAGGCCAAGAACGGGTGTGACGCCCCTGGAGCGATTCTAGTTATCTTTTATGTTTGTTTTAGTTAAAGTTGAACTATCTAAATTATGCTGTCTGCACCAATCGGACTCTCTAGGTTTAAGGCATTTTATTATCCAACGATAATAAACTTTTTCTTTTGATACTACTTAGTAACTCCTCTCCTCTCTGACTAAAAAGTATCTAATGTTACTCATTTGGCCATAATGCAGCATGAGCAAGTTTTTATCGGTCTATCCCGCAGGGAGCTTAATGTGAGACCAACTGCATTTTTCTTCATGAAATGCAGTCTCAGCTCAAAGGAGATTCCAAAACTGTATTCTAGTGCCCAAGACAGCTTTGAATCAACTCAGCTCTTTACAGTTCCAATGGTAAGTTCAAACTTTTATCGGACAGAGATGCACCATCATGTATGTATTTTCTAAACAATTGTTTGCATTAGAACTCTTTCGTTTACTTATTTGTTAATATTCAATTCACGGTCAATGATGGTAGAAGAATGGCAAGAGGTAATTGTGCGGTAATGTTGTTTGCGAGCTATGGTGATACTGTTTGAAACATGGTTGAATAGTGATGCAAACTTATGGGGACTTTGTGACGAGACACTAATCTTCCTCATTAACAGCAAAACAAGTTGAGATGAATAACAATGCCTTGCTTTTTGTGAAGCAAATTACAATAGACCACTCATGAATCTCAACTTCCGTTTTGAGTTTCAATGCAAATCTCATGAAATTTTCTTTATACCAGATTGAATTAGAGAACATGGCGTCGAAAATGCCAGGCTGCCATGAAGGTGGATTCGCGTTGTATAAGATGATGGTTGAAGCCGTGAAGAATGTTTGATGGAAGATCTGCTCATATCTCTCAGTCGTTAGTGTCTCGGCAGCTTTCAGTAACACTTCTAAGGCTCGGACTCCCTTTCTTTGTTATTAGCGATTCGGTACAAAAACAGATAACCTTGCTTGTTGTACTCAGTTTCATACATATGCTTGTAAAACATGATTTATTTTTAATCACAGTTAATTTGAATTACAGTCGCAGTTAATTTGAATTACAGTTACTTGTCATCAACTTGTTATCACCAATAGTGGTAAACATATTTTACAATCTGTGATATATGGTTTTATTTTAATTGGTTAAATTGCAGCAACGGTCCCTTTTCATTTGGATTTTCGCTTTCGTCCTTGTAGTTTTTTTGTTGCATTTTGTAGTGAAACCGAATGAAACCACGAGACGAACGTGCAACAAAGAAATACTGCAAAATCGAAAGTGAAAATCCGAGCAAACTATAGGATGGATAATTCTTATGAGGGATTCATGCCGATAATTTTTCCCGGTTACAATTCGTGTTGGATTTAAGTACATTGGTAAAAGCTTCCGTCAGATGATCTGTGTTTTTACTGCGATTTACCTCTGAGACTTTAGCAGCAAGGTAAAAACTAAAAAGTGCCCATTTCTGGAGAGTAGGTGCCTAGGTGGAGTCCATGAAGAAGGCTAGGCAAAGGGGTAAGAGTATCTTGTCTTATAATTGCCCTATCACTATTTTTCCCACTTGACCAGATGCATTGTTTATGATCCATTTTTCTGTTGCCTCTTCTCTTCTTTTCGCTTTATGGGTTTGGGTGCATTGCCATTTGGTGTCATTATTAATGAAACAAGGATATGTGGACAAAAAATGTGCACGTTTCTATTGACACAAGACGCTACCGTAGCAGTATGCTCACGTCATGTGTGGTATACATTGTATAGGCTGCTGATCTTTATAATTTATTTTCTTTTCATCCTTTCAATTTTGGCAATGTTTGTCTTGTAATTTTGTTTGGTTTGTGATCAAGTTCAACTATACATAACTGCAAGACTACGGAGACGTTTGATAATTATTTCGTTTTTAATTTTTAGTATTTAATTTTTACTTTTCTGAAAAATGAAAACTTTGGTAATTACTTTTAGTTTTCAAGTTTCAGAAAAATAAAACCTTAAAGACAAAACTAGAAACTCAAGGCCAAGTTTTGAAAACTCAAGAAAGTGGTTTTCATTTTTTGGTTTTGAAGTTTCGTTTTTTCTGAAAAACGAAAGTAGTTACCCAATTTCAGAATTCAAATAAGTAAAAACAAAATAATTATCAAGCGGTCTCAAATATTATCATAATTAAAACATGTATCAAAATAAGTAGATGAAACGACTTGGATATATTAACCGACACATTCTATTTATCGGAGCTTAGAAAAATTTTGCAACCTACACGTGTACATGAACAAAAATTGCAATTGGGCTAATAATCGATCCATATATAAAATTGCAAGGGGAACTTTAACGAAAAGTATCTGGTACTGTTCACTTTAACAAAAAATCACATTTTTACACTAAAAAGTCAATCATGGTACTATTCACTTTACCTTTTATTTTGTCCTTATCATTAAAACTCAAAGTTTTCAAGCCCTTTTCATTAATTTTCCTAATTGCAAGACCTAGAAGCTTTCCAAGTTGCACTGCTTTGACCGGAAAACTGGACACTTCAGTTTAGACCCACAGTAGTGTGTACGAAAAAAGTGCTGATAGACATAAATGACAATGAAAGCAAGCCGTATTTGGTGAGTCAATGATGGCGAAAGCAAAAGACCAAGTCAATACAAATTTTAATAAAAATATAAACCATACGTTATATTACTAGATAAGCATATGATGTTTACGTGCAGCATTTCAAGAAATTTCACTGTAACACAATATCACGTAACATCTTTAATTTGTCTTGTAATATAAGTCAAAGAAAATTGTAGCAATCGTTTTTTAATTTTAACTCAATTGAAGCAATAATTCATCAACTAAAAATATGTGATAATTGGTCCTTAAGTCATGAAAACGTGCAGTTATAATCCATTTCGTCAGGACCGTCAGAACTTCTGTCAAAATGAGTCATATTAAAATATTCATTGCTACAATCGGATTAAATTTGAGGAACCATTTATTCAATTGTGTTTAAGTTGAGGGATTATTTATCTTAATTGGGTGAAAGTTGAGAGACAATTGCTATAATTTTCTTATTTGATTTTTCATATTTTCTCCTTGATTTAGCCTCACGTACGTGGCACGTGACTCATTTTAGCAGAATTTTTAACGAAGTTGAAAATAAAAAGACCATAGTTGCATGTTTTGATGAGTTAAGTAAGAGACCAATAATCACATCTTTTAATTGAAAGAGTATTGCTCTAATTTGATTAAAGTTAAGAAAACATTACTACATTTTCCTTTATAAATAAATAATAACAATATTTATCATGAGCGTTAATTATCAATTAAAAAATATATATGATGTAGCGATGCACAGGCACACCGAAAATTTTCTGTCTTTATATCTCCTCAATGAGAAAGAATGACATCAACATTTTTGGTGCACTAATTATTACACAGATTCCCAAATGGGCACCAATTAGGGGTGAAGGCTGGACTGTTTGGACCAGCACGTGCAAAACACACGTGCGGAAAATTATTCTTCATTGTTCTATATAAAAAAGGGATGGGATATTCACACACCCATTTTTATTTCTCTCACACATTTTTAATTTTCAACCGTCCGATCGGATGAATTGAAGAAGATCAAATGACAAAAATTAACAAGAGGTGTGAAAGAAATAAAAAGGGATGTGTGGATAGCACATCCCATAAAAAATAAAACCACTTATAGCGAGAAATTTCGAATACAATCAGTTCAGAAAGCATTTCAAGCCTCCGAGGGCAAGGAATTATTATACGTTTGTGGTGCAGAACATGCTTGTGAGTTATAAGTGTTCATTAAGGAATATCCAGAAAGACATTTAGAGAATCGGTCTGATTCTATCTCTGTTCGTTCCGTTTGACAAAAAGAAGGATCCCAAAGAATCGATATTTTTTTTTAGTTGTTGAATCTTTTTTGATTGATCAATGTGTGATATTCTGAAAACTATATTTTAGTTTTACTAAGTAGCTGAGGTGGTCTGTGATTGGGTTTAGGGGAACAAACAAACACCCAAACAGTGCTTTTCCCTGCGTATAATTATAACATAATCTAGCACAAGATTACATTTATATAAAAATATATTGTATTTTTTTTTCCTTTAATTTTGGCCTTTGTGATTTAAATAAACAATTAATTGGTTATGTATTTACCACCAATTATGCAGCTTTCTGTGCTTCCTTCGATACTAAGTACTTGTATTTTTATTTTCTTTTTCTTTTTAAAAAGGTGGAAAATTATGATTTCTGCTGGCCATCAGTGACTTGTATATTAAAGAGATTCTGCTTCATTTCTTCTTTATTTTTGTATCTCTATGTTATAATTTCTTTGGTTATGGATCATGAGTAGGATTCTTTTCCCTCTTATTCCTATCTATTTTCTTACCCTTCTCGCATATTTTCTTGCATCAACAGTATGGACAACATGTCTGGAATGGTGGAGGTGGATCTAACCAAGAGCCTCACGTGTGCCTCCACCTTGGTCTGACAGATTATAGGTCTCTCTCTCTCTCAATCAAACAAACAAATGATCGGCATATATACTATTGTCTAAATCTGATTCTTCAATGCAACATTTTTAGATTTATGCGCTTATTCACAGTTATTACCTCTTCTAAAAATAAAATAAAATAAAATATTGACGGTGGAGCATTTTAAGTAATTTAGCTTATTTATACAGTTTCATGAAGAGATGGTTTCTTGAACAAAGTGGAAATGTTTTTTATTCTGTCTTGGCAGATTCTAATTCCATGATACTTGATAAGCGAAATTAGTTTGTAATTGGTTCCTCCTATGAAACTAGGAAAACAAGAAACAAATTACAATCGGATGCCACTTTTTAAAAGGATATACAATCAGCCTTTTATTTTGCTGGTTTTAAATCAGTTACCTACTTGCTTTGCAGGACTTTTGTGGGCACAAACTTAAATCCCTTGTGGGAAAGATTCCTGGTTAGATCAGAAGGTATTACTGCAGGAATTAGTACATTTTTAGCTGCATTGTGAGATTTCATCGTTGCCTATATATGCTTGCCACACATTATCTAGATCATTTCAAACTTTTTTTTTATCCTTGTAAGTACGTGACAGACTCCAAAGCTATTAACAACAAAGTTTCTCAGGAGATGTTTGAGAGCATTGTTCGTGAGGTAGTTGAAGAAATCGGAGTACCTTCAGCTTCCCTTGTAAGTACATCTGTATGTTTGTTTCCTAATTGTCCATTACACATTTTATGCGTCTTTCCTGCTCACGATGAGTTTTATTTACTGTATCGGTGATGTGGAACAGAAGTGGTGGCTGCCCTAAATTAAAGGGTGTCTTAGTCTGTTACTCTCTAGGGTTTTAGTATTTCAGTATCTGGTTTTAGTTATTTGATTTCCTACTTTTATGAGGATTAAGATTACTTCCAGTTTCATTGGGATTAGATTTAGTTTCCAAATATCCCCAGTAATTCCAATAGTTGTATGGGATTATTTTGTTGAGATGACAAAATTCTTGGTGAGAGGCCAAGAACGGGTGTGATTCCCCTGGAGCGATTCCAGTTAACTTTTATGCTTGTTTTAGTTAAAGTTGAACTATCTAAATTCTGCTGTCAATGATGGTAGAATGGCAAGAGGTAATTGTGCGGTAATGTTGTTTGCGAGCTATGGTGATACTGTTTGAAACATGGTTCAATAGTGATGCAAACTTCTGGGGACCTTGTGACGAGACACTAATCTTCCTCATTAACAGCAAAACAAGTTGAGATGAATAACAATGCCTTGCTTTTTGTGATACAATAGACCACTCATGAATCTCAACTTCCGTTTTGAGTTTCAATGCAAATCTCATGAAATTTTCTTTATACCAGATTGAATTAGAGAACATGGCGTCGAAAATGCCAGCCTGTCATGAAGGTGGATTCACATTGTATAAGATGATGGTTGAAGCCGTGAAGAATGTTTGATGGAAGATCTGCTCAAATCTCTCAGCCGTTAGTGTCTCGGCAGCTTTCAGTAACACTTCTAAAGGCTCGGACTCCCTTTCTTCGTTATTAGCTATTCGGTACAAAAACAGATAACCTTGCTT